TAAAAATTTGTTTTTATTATTCTAATGTATTTTTTTTTGTTGTTTGCAAATACAATTGTTGCTCTCTCAGAAACATGCAACAAAAAATTAAAATTTTAAAACTGAAAAATGCAAATTTTTGTACTATTTATTTAAGCATTTCTCAACTTAATTCGGAAGCAGTTTTAAAAAAAAAAAAAAGCAAAAAGCTACCAGAAAACCACATGTCACCTTTACTGAACATTATAAAATCTACTTTTAATTATATTATAGAATGAATGTGATATTTAAGATAAAGAAGTCTTGATTTTTACTGTCTTTTTAAAATAAATTTAAATTTTTTTAAATAGTGTTCAATTGACATTATTATTTAATAATGAGAATATCAATATTTTAATGGTCATGAACAAAATTTTTGAGTTTTTTTTGATTGCCTTTCATTGGTTTTAGTTTTCAATAATAAAACAAAATAAAATTTTTGCTAAAAATCAAAACTTCAAAATCTAAAATATAAAAATGTTGTAATATATATATATTAATTGAATAATAATAAATTAATGTAAAAATACCTTTCTTCGTTTAACCTCTTCAAATCCGACATTTCAAGCTCAAATTTAAGCTTACTAACTTCACATAACAAATTATCCCTTTCTGATGACAATTCCTTATTAATTTGTTTTAAACTTTCAACTTCTTGACTTAACTGTCGAATAATAATATCTTTTTCTTCATGAGATAAATTCAAACAATTTTGATTTTCACCCGAATCATCGGCCATGGCTATAGGAGAATTTCCCGAATTATCGCACATTTTAAAACAAATTTAATAAATAAAATATTAAAGTAATATAATTTAAACTAATTTATTTTTCAATTTACACTCATGGTAGAATCCAAATAACACAAATATAATTTTTTTTCACCATTGTATATACCTGAATCCGGACTCCACAACTGACGGCACATACATATTTACTCAACGACTCTTGTATCAAATAACCTTCACAACTACCTACGACATTTAAGATGGCCGACTTAATAATCCGTCTGCTTAGATTTGTTTACTTTTTTCCCTCCTAATTTCAAAACCCTTATTAAATAAAAAAAAAATTACAAAAGGTTAATTTGAATTAATTTTTAAAGTATTAATTAATTTATGAAATCGTATAATTTGGATGAAAAAATTTTAAATAATAAGCGTTTTTAGGTTTAAAAAAAATTTGTATTATGCATTCATATTCACAACATTTTAACTCATACTTTTACGACATAAAAAAACCGCGAAAATTTTGAATATTAACGTTCTTTTTGTTTCGATAGGGTATTCAAAATGGACTTATAAAATTTCATTTCCACACATATTTTTAAGAGAATATTTAATTAAAATTATTATAGTTTATTAATGACGTATTATTCAATTTAAAGAATTATAAAATACATATATATATTTTTTTTTTGATTTTAAAAAATTACTATATGATTAAAATTAATTTAAAACATTTTTTTCTTTTTAACATTTTTTTAATTTTTTTTTTCAAACACAAACACATGACATTTAAAGTAGCATAATTTAACATTGCCGTTTTATCAGAACTATTTGTTTAATGCATTACTTCATACTACAATTTAAAGATACTTTAAAAAGTATTTAAAATTAATTTTTAAAAAATTAAGTTTGTATTAAAATTGTTTAATGAAATTAATTAAATTTAATTTTTTTTATAAGTAACCGTTGTCACTTTACAACTATTACTTTACACAGATAAAATGTTAAAGGAGTTAAATTTTTGCAGTTGTAATTATGGCAGTACCGTCATAAATTAAACTTATATTCAATGTGATTACAAGTCAGTAGGTTTAGTTACTCAGGGTCATATTTTTTTTTTTTCAAAAACGATAAAATGGCTCTAAAGTTAAATATTTCAATGTTGAAAACTTTTAAAATAGAGAGATTATTTCACAAGGTAGGAGTTTTTAAAAATTGGATATTTAACATTGTGTATACATCACGAACTAAACATTAATACTGTTTTATGGTTTTTGTAAGTGCATGAAAAAGAACATATTATTGATTTTTAACTATAGAAATATTTTTTCTTACAGAAGTTGAAATGTAGGTTTTCATCGTTAAGTCTGTACGAAAACATTCCTAATAACTGCCAACGTTCATTCCATTTAGTTTCATTTCCTGTTAAACATTTTAATTATCATTCCATGAAACATGTTCGTTTTCTATTTATTTCACCTGCCACGTACGGTAAAGTTGTGCCATTTAAGTTATCTGACATAGGAGAAGGAATGTTGAAGTTGTTGTTAAAGAATGGTAAGTTTGTAAAATATAACCTATATAAAATTTTAACTCAAACTTTCTTTTCGAATTTCTTTTCAACGCAGGTATGTTAAACCAGGAGACAAAATTGCTCAATTTGATAATATTTGTGAAGTGCAATCAGACAAAGCTTCTGTTACCATAACAAGTAGATATGATGGAGTTGTAAAAAAATTGCATTGCGAAATTGATCAAATGGCAAAAGTAGGATCTCCATTAATTGACATTGAAGTTGAAGAAGTGGAAGATTCAGATTCTGATTCAGATTCAGACAATGAAGCAGGTAAAAGTTCCAGAATAATCGAAAGTACCTTTTTTATAAATTGCTTGAAATGTATTACTTTATCAAAATCGTAGCTTAAAAATTCTTGGTTTTTTTTTTTGCTTAATTTGGGTTTTTATATTTATTGTTCTTCTTTAATTCAATATTTAGAGTTTTAGTTTTTTTTTGCTTTCAGAAGTTGAAAGTAAAAGTAGTAGTAGTAGCAATAGTGAAAGTAGTGCTAGTGAAAAATTGGAAGAAGTTCCTGTACCTAAAGCATTGGCAACACCAGCTGTTCGCAGAATAGCTAAAGAAAACAATGTAAGAGTACTGAACTTAATTAAATGTATTACTTTAATTTAACCTATTAAAAATTTTTAATTTTAGATAAATATTCAAGAAGTTCGTGGTACTGGCAAAGGTGGAAGAGTGCTCAAAGAAGATATAATACTATTCATGGAGGGAAATACGGAAGTTAGACAGAGTGGTCAAACTGTAATGCCAAGGGGTGAGGAAGCACCACCTCCTCTTCCTCCAGTTTCCAAGCCATATCAATTCAGTGGAATTTTAGCCAAAGATATAAAAGAACCAATTACTGGATTTAAGAAAGCAATGGTGAAATCAATGGCTAACGCTTGGGTCAGTTTCATATTATTACTTAAATTTTTTTTTTTTCTAACTTATTAATTTATGAAAAAAAATTATGAAACTCACAAAAGTAATATTTTATATTTTAAAAATGATTAGGCAATACCTCACTTTTCTTACTGTGATGAAGTTGGAATAACAGAATTAATGGAAATGAAAGATGATATGAAAAGAATTAGTCAAAATACTGGTGTAAAATTGACTTTCATGCCATTTTTTATTAAAGCAGCCTCATTAGCTTTAATGAAATACCCTCAATTAAATTCACATGTCGGTGATAATTGTGAATTTCTAACAATAAAAGCTTCACATAATATTGGTGTAGCAATGGATACCCATAATGGATTAATTGTTCCAAATATAAAAAACGTTCAGCAGTTAAGTGTCCTTGAAATAGCAAGTGAATTAAATCGTTTGCAAAACCTAGGAAACAGGGGACAATTGGGATTAAACGATTTAAGTGATGGAACATTTACATTATCCAACATTGGTTCTATCGGAGGAACATACACAAAACCAATAATTTTCTCTCCTCAAGTTATAATAGGAGCATTAGGCAAAATTCAAGTAAGCATTTTTTTTTCTCTTTTTATTTAGGTAAAATAATAAAAATTACGTTAGTTTTTTAAAAAAAAAAAAAAAACACTTAATAATTATTTATTTTCAGGTTTTACCAAGATTTGATAAAAATAAAAATGTGATTGAAGCTCATATTTTTAATGTAAGTTGGTCGGCAGATCACAGAGTCGTTGATGGAGCAACGGTGGCAAGGTTTTCAAACCTTTGGAAAGCATATTTGACTTCTCCAAAACTTCTTTTGGAATTGTAAACCATTATTCCGAACAAAAATATTAGATAAATTTAGTTAATTCATCAGAAAAATATCTATAATGTTTATTATAAAAGTTTAATGCGAAATTATCGAAAAGTCTACACGGCGAAAATTTTTTAATGGTACCTGATAGTATTTTCATATTCGATATTACGTACCTCACATTAATCGGATGATATTACAAAAAAAAAGAAATTATTTTAAGATATTAAAATAAATTACGGGAAATGCAATGTAGTAGTCAAGGGTTAGAGATATTTTTTTAAATTGTACAATTTTTAACGTTTTATAAAATTTTTTTGTTAATGTGCCTTATCTTTTATAAAGCTAAGTCTGACTTATATTTTTTTTAAATCTACAGTATTTTTCAGAGATATATATATATATATTTTTTTATTTATTGTCGATTAATAAATAATTCCTTGTTGAAATAAATTCAAAACTATATTATTATGTATTGAAATTTTATTAAAAATTTGGTTTAAAAAATATATATTTTTTTTTTTTTTGTATAAATATATAATATTTTATATTGTTATGAATTTATAAATCACCCAATGTATTGTTTTATATGTTGAAAAATATAAAATTTTAATTTTATATATATATATTTTTTTTACTATCTTTTTATTGAGTTCTTGTTAATTTTTTAATTCGTAAGTAAATAATAAAATAATCATACGCAAAAAAATATGAATTAAATAAAATAAATAAATTTAAAGTGATAAAAAATAAAAATTTATTGAAAATACAATTT